ACAGGATAATCAGGAGCCATATCTCATAAATCCTGGACCAATCAAGGTTAAACTTTACACATGCATCACACCTCAGGTCATAGATTTCAATTACTCATTAACTAATTGATATCAAAATGAACATCATTGATCTCACACATGATGGTTTTGCTGCACATCAGTTTGCATTATGATTTTGATTCTAAATGGCCATTGCTTGAACATAAAGCTATTTTATATACATGTAGTTATTTCAGACAACAATTACAAAATATCATCTACTATTTATCATATTTATCAGTCATAGCTGTGTTTATCTGTTTACTTTCATCATGGTTTAGCAGTATATACATGCAGACCAGGAAAACCATGACTATACCTGCTGTATAACACTAGGTGTATTTTTTACACATTGCTAAACTGTAATGGTGTCCTACATATCACATATCACATTATGTTGTTACTTTACAGGTGGAGGAATTACTATTGACAGATCAACCAATATCATCATTTCAAGGTATAGGTATTTTCAGTTATACATTGTTGGCAAGTGACAGCTATAATGAGAAATTATCTCTCCTGACTTTAGATTAACTGCTTGATTTGTAAACTATCATATCTGCTTATTCTGAAAGTTTACTATTGTATGTTCCCTCAACTTTGTATTCCATGTCTGTCTTTCATAGATGACAAGTCTGGCTTCCGTTTGCAACAAATTGATCATACTGTTGTTTTTTCTTTTTATTACTTCACTGCCTGCATACATTGCACTTTGTCTGGGTAGTATAATTATTGCGCTACATTTACCAACTAAGTTTACAATACATACTAGTTGTGTATAAATATGTTTTCCATCAATACATTTAAAGAATCATCAAAATGATAGTAGTAAATTTGTTTCATGTTTGTAGGTGGAGTACCCAACATAATAGAACCAGGTGGTTCTGCTGTTGGTGTTGCTGTTGGTGTTGTTGTGGTTCTTTTAATTGTTGTAGCAATAATAGTTGCAGTATTTATTATGAGAAGGTAAGTGTTTTCTTGTCTTCAGCCGTTTTCACTGGCTCCTCGACCTGTGTTCCACAGCAGCCCACGCATAGCACACAGAAATACATTGTACAGTGGTGCAAGTCCAAGCAACATAGAATGCTCTGTGACATACGTAGCTTTGCCCCCAAGAATTGGTGGGGATATATATTGTTTTATATAATGAATGATATTTAAATTGTAGTTTATAAATCATTACTATTTACAGTCCTCTTATACACTATATCAAAAGTTATGTACAGTACTATGACAATAATTATACATTATATAAAGACATCTCTAATGGTAACAGAAGAGATACTTCTGAGTTTGTTGGAAGGACCTTACATGTACATAATTGACTGATTAGAAGTAAACTTAAAATGTGAACAAATCTGTCAGGCAAAATTTGTTATTCGTCTAATATTGCAGAATTATTCCAACACAGTCATTGAATAATTCATTTTGCTTTTTATATACAAGGCGTCTGGGAAACCAGAAACGTAGTACTGAATATGAAACACCTAACAGCAGTATGCCTTTTGAGAATGCTTATGCAAATTTAGAGGAATCCAGCATGAATTCAGGTAAGTTGCTTTTAATTCAGTTTAGAAACCTGAATATTGTGAATTTTCCATGCATAATCTAAATTCACCATTGATATTGTCACTCAATTTGCATGTCTGTAAATGATTTAAATACAGTGGTTTAAAATATGGTGTTTGGTTTCCAATGTGTGAAGGGGGCACATAAGCTCATTAAAAATTATACTTAATCAATTGTGATATAATGTATTAACGTATAAGTAGCTTGAAGCATGGTAATTTTATACTTATGATTGTTGCGCTTAATTAAATAAAGTTATTATTATTATTATTATTATGATGTTGTTACATTGTACTTTAAATGTTTTAGATACTCTGAGCTCATTTTGCAGAGGCAATCGAAACACGATTTAAAACCACTAAATTCCCTATTTACTTGAGTACTGAAACTTATGATATGAAAGCATATGCAATGATGA